AAACTAAACCAATCTCTCTCTCTCTCTCCCTCTCTCGCACACACACACATGACTAACCCGTCATCACCCGGCACGGCAGAAGAAGAGGAGGAGGAGAAGGAAGAAAGGTTACCGCGAGCCCCGCCAAAAGGTCAGATAAGGTCAGGTGAAGCGGCGAGGGTGAACAGCAACACTATCCCCATTGATTCCGGGAAAGCAAGGCGGTGCGAGAAACAGAGTTAAGAAGAGTAATTTGCTCTCTCTTTTTTTTAATCTCGGGTTGAAGGCTGGAGAGCGAACCGTTTAAAAAATCCACTTCAATAAATAGCTTTCTTATCTCGGGTCCTTATCTTTTTTTTATCTTCTAACAAGTACGGGTTTATTCTCCTGCGTGCATCACTCATTCTTGATGTTGCATAATGGCCTGCAATATCGCTGTCGGATATTGTTGTAAGTACAATTTCTTTGAGGATGACAATAGCGCATTAAATAACCAATTAAACTTTCATAAAACGAGAAGAAATGCTCCAGTTTGTTTCTAAAAATAGACCAGTCATATAATTGTTATCAGTATAACATAGTCTACAGATAAGTTTAGTCTGAAACTAAACCAATCTCTCTCTCTCTCTCACACACACACACACCACACACACACACACATGACTAACCCGTCATCACCCGGCACGGCAGAAGAAGAGGAGGAGGAGAAGGAAGAAAGGTTACCGCGAGCCCCGCCAAAAGGTCAGATAAGGTCAGGTGAAGCGGCGAGGGTGAACAGCAACACTATCCCCATTGATTCCGGGAAAGCAAGGCGGTGCGAGAAACAGAGTTAAGAAGAGTAATTTGCTCTCTCTTTTTTTTAATCTCGGGTTGAAGGCTGGAGAGCGAACCGTTTAAAAAATCCACTTCAATAAATAGCTTTCTTATCTCGGGTCCTTATCTTTTTTTTATCTTCTAACAAGTACGGGTTTAATCTCCTGCGTGCATCACTCATTCTTGATGTTGCATAATGGCCTGCAATATCGCTGTCGGATATTGTTGTAAGTACAATTTCTTTGAGGATGACAATACACACACACACACACACACACACAGCAAAACCTTGAATTTCTCTCGCTGTCTCTCAGACTGAAGGGAAACCAACTCCCCAACAGTCAAACGACCCAAGGTCGGGGACTTACCCATTATCAGCCAGCCAATACAAGTCGTCTCCCCGCTGAACCCACGGGAGACGACCACGGCAGAGGAAGAGGCAGAGGCTCGTAGGCAGAGGCCTACGAGCTGCAAAAACATGGGATGATTGCGTACGCGTTTCCAGACAGTTAATGCAATAGGCCTATCACTTAAAAAGAGTTGAGGACGCACTTTATTCTCAGTCTCCTCGTTTATTTTCTTTCTTATCCACGGTGATATAGGCCTATTTGATGTCACTCCCTAAATTGCTATAGAAAGGAGTAAAAATGATCATCTGTTGAAGTTTCGCGATATCAGGAAAAAACGGAATGAACGAATAATGAAAGAATGAACACAGGCAGACAGGCAGAGAGAGAGGCCTATGAATAAATAAAATATAGGCATAAGTGTGCACAGTGCTCTCATGAACGCGCCTGCATGTGAATGTCCATGCGCATGTGCGTGTGCGAAATCTGTGCATGCGCGCGTGTGTCAATCCACAGCTCATGACCGACAAAAATCCAGACAAATGAGGCACATCTATCTCACACCTTCATCCACATCTATCAGTACGCTAATCCGCAGCCAGTCCGTGTCAAGAAGCACGATCGGTGTATCAATCGCGACTGAATTCCGCGCCTCGCTTCCCCCCGTCATGCCTAGTCATGAACACCCCCCCCCCACATCCCCACCCAGCGCCTAAATAAGGTCATGCGAACTAACCCAAAGGAAATGAGCTATCATGGCCATGAAAGGAAATGCAAATGAAACCTGGCACAGAACATGCACAAACAAACACACACGCACTCACGCATTCTCTCCCCCTCCCTCCCTCCTTCCCCCTCTCTCTCTCTCTCTCCCTCTCTCACACACACACACATGACTAACCCGTCATCACCCGGCACGGCAGAAGAAGAGGAAGAGGAGGAGGAGAAGGAAGAAAGGTTACCGCGAGCCCCGCCAAAAGGTCAGATAAGGTCAGGTGAAGCGGCGAGGGTGAACAGCAACACTATCCCCATTGATTCCGGGAAAGCAAGGCGGTGCGAGAAACAGAGTTAAGAAGAGTAATTTGCTCTCTCTCTTTTTTTTAATCTCGGGTTGAAGGCTGGAGAGCGAACCGTTTAAAAAATCCACTTCAATAAATAGCTTTCTTATCTCGGGTCCTTATCTTTTTTTTTATCTTCTAACAAGTACGGGTTTAATCTCCTGCGTGCATCACTCATTCTTGATGTTGCATAATGGCCTGCAATATCGCTGTCGGATATTGTTGTAAGTACAATTTCTTTGAGGATGACAATAGCGCATTAAATAACCAATTAAACTTTCATAAAACGAGAAGAAATGCTCCAGTTTGTTTCTAAAAATAGACCAGTCATATAATTGTTATCAGTATAACATAGTCTACAGATAAGTTTAGTCTGAAACTAAACCAATCTCTCTCTCTCTCTCTCTATGATGACCTGTGTTCCCCCGTCCGAGCTGAGGCCGCGAAGAACAGGACAGCCGCCGCAGCCACTCGCGCGAGACGACCCTTCCAAAACCCCCCCGAGGAAGGGCGCCCACTCGAAAAACCCGTAGAAAACGTTCTCTCTCCCGAAGCAGTTACGAGATCCCTTCCCCCCCCCCCCAGCACTTCAGATAATTCAATACCGGGTGCGACTAGAACAATACACTGCTCTACAAAAGCTTACGTGATAAAAGCTGTTCAGAAAACTCACGGACTGGGACTAGGAATGTGGGGGGGGGGGGCAGCAAACTCAGTGTCAAGAAGTAATTACAGAAACCCACACTCGAAGGGGAGGAGGGAGAGAGGGGGGTAAAAATAACTCAAGAAACAATAATTGAGTGAACATACTTGAGAAAACACACACACACACACTGAGCCAGGAAGCTAATAACAGAATCCCCCTCCGCCCCCCCCTCTTCCCCCACACTTATTAGAAAACACGGTGTCAGGAAGCAATCGAGACAACCCACAGTCTCTGGGGTCAACGAGCAACCCCTCCCCCCCAGGAAGCAGCTAATCGAATTCGCTCTTTTCGGAAACCTCCTTGTCCCCTGGTCGACCTAGAGACCGTACGTAGTCTTTCGAAACCCCCTTTCCCCTGACCCCCACAAAACCCCACGTCCCTAGAAAGCTTAATAACTGCTGACCCCAAGGGACTATAACCCTTAGAAACCCTCCCCGTGACACCACGAGACCCCAGCCTTTCGAAAACCCTTTCCCTAATCCCTAAAATACGATAACCCTTAGAAACCCCTCCCCTTTGACCCCTAGATCGCTTAGAAACCTCACCCCTTGCTCCGCCAGACCTTAGAAAACTGCCTTACCCCTTCCCTGACCCCTTTGAGCTCCTAGCCGTCAAAAATACCCCCTGACCCCTGAGAAACTCCTCCCCTGAGCCCTTAACCCTTAGAGAGCCCTCCCCTGACCCTAGACCCCAGCCCTTGGAAAACTTATCCCGTGACCCCAGGAGACCCGAAGCCCGCCAGCCCCGAGCGCAGTGCCACTCACCGTTGTAGTTGTCGAAGGCCGTGGGCACGTACTCGGTGGGGTAGCCGTTGGTGGTGTAGGAGACGACGAGCGAGGTCTTGCCCACGGAGCCGTCGCCCACCAGCACGCACTTGAGCTTGGTCTTCACATCGCCCTCAGGAGAGCCCATCAGGTAGGCCGCCGCCGCCGCCGCAGAAGGGTCGTGAGGCCGCACCAGAGGAGGCATATTCGCCCCCGACCCCCGGAAAATCCAGTCGTACGTGGCGCCCTGGCCCGAGCTCGCCCCCAGGCTGCTGTAGGGCGGCCGCTTGTACGCCTCCGAGCTGGAATGGAAAAAGTGGCGCGTCTTCTCGTCCAGGGACCTCAGGCTCCTCAACATGGGGAACACGGGCTCCTCCGCCGGGCACTCCGCGGAAACGACGACCACACTCCGCCACCGCTTTTCCACCGATCGGAAATCACCACCTGAGCCCGACGTCACTCACAAACCTCGAATCACCGAACCATCGAAAGACACATGACAAAACGCCTAAATCACCGGCGACGTCGAACAGCACCTCCCGCGCTCACTGCCAGACTCACACTGACCCCTGTTTACGCTCACGAGGCCCTCGGAGCAACAGCTGATCGCGTGACGTCACACCAAGGCATGACGTCACGACAACTCCGCCCGTAACAATTCACGACTTCTAAGTCTGATTTCCTTCACATTGGCTATTGATATTTGCTGTCGTCGTGAAGACTTAGGCTAGATGGGGGGCAAAGCAAGGTGTTTAAACGTTAAATGATTTGAAAATGGCAGACACTCCAGGTTGACACTTGTTGGTTGTCGGAATATTTCGCATATTTCATATATTAAAGCCTTTATTCTTCGCTGTCAGTTGATGAGGATTTACAGATTATTACTGAAGATATTCAGAGATAAGATTTAGGGAAAAAGAGTGTCTGAAAACTGTAAGGAAAGAGTCAGAATTATAATAGAATTCGCGTTTTGCGCATCTCAGCCTTCCTTTGTTCAGTGTTTACCTCTGCCAGAATTACCAACAGCGGGAAGAAGCGGAAATCAAATTATACATATATTTAGATATATTAAAGACATCCTCAATTACATTTTTATCATTCTACATAAATATAAAGAGACTAAAACGTTTCCTTTGGTATAGTTTTTCATATAAAAATGGTACACATACACTGAAAAGGAAACCCCGGTTGGCACTGCTGCATGGACCGGCGTCAGAGTTGCTGCTCGGAAGGAAATAACGAGTTGGTTTTTAGGGAATTGTGAGTTTAGGAAGCATTAACAAGGCATGTCTGTGATGTCCCTTATTTCTAGGCTTCCGAGGGTGCTGGAGAACTAGATGTTCTTCTCTCAGGTCGAATAGAAAGTAGATGTTAAACACCTGCTTTGGAGTGCATCAGCATTTTTTTTTTTATTGTGTAAACTTTCGTAAAAGAGAAATTCACTCTTTACTTAGTCAGCGAAAACTGGGATCACTCGTGACCAAGCACCAGTACGAGGTAAAGAGAGCTTAGAATCGATACATCCATATCTCTTGACAATTTCGCTGTAGTTTTAACATAATTACAGATTTTATTTGTAAGTTAAAAAACTCGATGATGGTGGTTGTGTCGAGGAATTCATGTGGCCTCTGCCTTTCTGCTCTTTGCTAAAGGCCAACAAATCGGTGTTTTTATTAGTATATGTCACGTTTTTTTTTTTTTTTTTTTTTTTTTTTGCTAAGTTTGGACGAGGTTTTTTTATGACTACAAAACAACCACATTCAGAGGTGGAAAAGGTCTCACTGGGTGTGTGTGTTGATGTAGCTTGATTTGAATATGGGAGGTAATTGGGCAGGGTGGCCTTGAATGAGATAAATTGGACATCTTCATTAACCACTGAGATATTACACAGGTAAAAGATATATAGCTAAAATTCACTTCTTTGCTGATTAAATTCATTATGGTACTGTGACTACTGATTTATGATAGGAATGACAAAGACACAATATATATATTAACCCCTTCACAATAGGTGACACCGATAGGCATGAAAACAATCTGTTCAGAAAGTGTTGTGCGGCTGTACACCACGGTGGTGCGTCAAAGTGCAGTGAGTCGGTGATTCGGGCTGATGTACCGAACTCCCATGCTTATAGTCGGCGCGCTGCCATGGTTTGCCAGAGCATAAAGTTTCTTTTTGGCTTTCTTCAGTCACCATTGGGTTAAGTGGTGTAGTTCTTATTTTAGAATACTATATTAGCACTAAAGTAAACTTTGCCATATGTTCTTTATTTCCCATTTGTGTGTGATGCGATATCAATGAGATATGCCTTAGAATTGATAACCTTAGAGCCTGCATAGATATTAAGTGGAATTGTTATTGAAATTATTTTTAAGGTTTGTGTGACCTGTAAAATCTCTACTAATACTTTATTATAGTCATTTAACAAATAATCTCCCTTGTATCTGAGATTCAGAAGGCATGTAAAGTAGATCTGGGCCGGAGCAGAATAAATGGAAGTGAATGTTGATTGTTTAAAATTGTTTGAGGTATGATATGGCCTCCAAGTCTTTCCAAAGGGACCCCCAGAGGAGCTAATTAAACATAATGCAATATAGAAATCATTACATCTGTCCACCGACATTTGTATGGAGTAGCTTAAAGAAGTAATATTTGTTCTTACTGCTCGTTTGTCTCTATTCAGTTGAGTCCCAACCCTTTTCTACTTGCTGTTGCTATCAATTTTGTGTCAATTTCATAGGGTTTTAGTATCAGTGTTCTATAGTTTTCTCTCGCACACGCATATATATGATTCCATTAAAATTTTTCCTCATGTTTAAGCTGTCTGTGGGTACAATGATTAACCCATTCGCCGCGGTTGGCAAGAATAGATGCCATACCCACTTTGATACACGTTTATTTATTGTATTTACACCTAGATGGCTCTACAAGTTCTTAATCACCAAATAGCCAGTTATCAAGAACTACCTATTTCACCTGTTTAGCCTTTTCCTTCACTTTCGGAAAGGGTTTTTTGTATCATCTTATTGTCAAAAATATTCTAATGACAATTCAATCATCATAACATCAGTAACAATAATAACAGCATCGAAAGCAATGATATTAATTTTCCCGCCAATTCAATGAATGGGAAAATCAGGGTTGGTAACTAGGGCCTACTGATAGACTCCTTGCCGGCTGAGTACATGTGGAGCCATCTGTAGGTAGCAAAATTCACCAAAACCAACAGGGGACAGAACATAAATCCGTGGCGAATGGGTTAATATTGTAGAAAATTGTTAAATGATGCAGATCATTTTCTAACATTGATTACTGTTAAGTTGTTCATTGTTTTTGTTTTATCCCTGTTGCTGTGGTTGGAATCATTGGAAAATTTACTGGTAAAGAAAAAAAAAATCATAGATATGCAGAAGGTCTTCTTGCGAAAAAATCTCACAAAAACTATTATTAGAAGTATTGAAAAGTGTAATATTAATTTTGATAACGTCCACAGGTCATGGTTTTCTCAGCGCTATGTTGCCGCTGTTGCCGGTCGTTGTTGGATGTCGCGGTTTTACTCCTTGTGCTTGTCCTGCTGCCCGGGATCCCTCCTCATGTCACCTACAAGTCGTATGAGTAAGTCTCGATTTAATTGTGTTGCAAGTGTAGGGTGCATGTTGCAAATCACAGTGAAATTAGATGTGTGCCATTTTTGATGATAACTTTGGGAGGATGTCTTTGATACAAGGAGCAGTGAACTAGTGTTGAATGAGAAATTAATTACTGTTGGTTGAGACTTTCATTAGTCTGAAACCTTTGGGATTTCAGATATGTAATAGTGAAAATGCTAAATCATGGATAAACCCTTTCAAGTGTACAAATTTGGGGATAAAGAGATCCAAATATTAGATTTAAAGCAAGTAAAATTCTGATTGGGTAAATATACTGTGTAAGTTGCCTTCACTTTTTCCTATAGCTTTAGTCTCCTCATACAATGCACCAGACAGCTTCACTTCCAAGTAGCACAACAAAGATAAATTTGACAGAGGAGTATGGGCATTTTTCATCACCCACTGGACCCTGGCATCAAAGAAATTAGATTATCTAAATAGATGAATTTATAAACTAATTTATTTATTCATAATGACTGTATAATCTTAACTCTTAATATATATATATATATATATATATATATATATATATATATATATATATATATATATATATATATATATATATATATATATATATATATATTATATATATATATATATATATTTATATATACACATACACACAATACAAACATAACATATATATATATATGTGTGTGTGTGTGTGTGTGTGTGTGTGTGTATATATATGTATGTATATGTATATATATATTTACACACATTTACACACACACTTACACACACACACACTTACACACACACACACTTACACACACACACACACACTTACACACACACACACTTACACACACACACACTTACACACACACACACTTACACACACACACACTTACACACACACACACTTACACACACACACACTTACACACACACACACTTACACACACACACACACTTACACACACACACACTTACACACACACACACTTACACACACACACACTTACACACACACACACACTTACACACACACACACTTACACACACACACACACACTTACACACACACACACTTACACACACACACACTTACACACACACACACTTACACACACACACACTTACACACACACACACTTACACACACACACACTTACACACACACACACTTACACACACACACACTTACACACACACACACTTACACACACACACACTTACACACACACACACTTACACACACACACACTTACACACACACACACTTACACACACACACACTTACACACACACACACTTACACACACACACACACTTACACACACACACACTTACACACACACACACTTACACACACACACACACACACACACACACACACACACACACACACACACACACACACACACACACACACACACACACACACACACACACACACATATTGTATGTGTGTGTAATAAATAAATAAATAAATATCTACATGAATTGAAAATGATCACAAGTTTTGAACCTCATCACGAGTTTATCAGACAAACTAAATGGTCAAAATGGATACAAAAAGGGCAAACTACCCTCCTTGGTGTTATGCAGACACCAAGAAAATCCACAACCAGATAGCCTTGACCTGTCTTCAGAGAGGTCACACCCAACTGACCCAGGCATATTGCATGTCCAGAGATGTTGAGCCAACTTTGAGCACGGGAGTTTGCTACATCAAGCCGCTCAAAGCACTCTGGTGCGTCGCTGCGGCGTACGGCTTTTCTCTGCAGACTGAGCGGTTTGTTATGACACTACAAGGCATGACCCGGCAGTATTGGGTTAATAGACATCTAGACGTGAGGGCTTTGCATCATTGCTAAATGCCTCAAGGGCTGCCACTCTGGCGTAAAAAGACTCAGATAGGATGGGAGTACCATTAGCAAAGTCAAGGTACACAAGCCACCACAGCACTTTACAGAACTTTCAGTACCAGTATAAAGGCTTGCAATTAATCACATAATTTTTGAATTCCCCAAAGTCTCGGTATCTCAAAGAACGATTTGTAATGCAGTATGTTGAAAACCTTGAGATCAATGTTGGCTGTGAGCATTCCACAACTGGACTCATAACAGTGCTGTTCAGTGATTTGAAATGCAAGTATACAGTCTCTTGTGGGTCCAGATTGCTCCAGTCTCTGGTGCCTCAGTAGGTGGTCTCTTGTATATCTTGGAAGCAGTGACGTAGATAGGAAATTTTATAGGGGGGTGAGAAATGCAGATTTTCTGACAAAAATTTAATAAACATTTTCGTTTCTTCATGATCATTTTCCGACAAGATTAGTAATTTTCCAACAAGATGGCAATTTAGCTGTAGAGGGGGTTTTCCGCCCCCCCTGACCCCCCTCTATCTACGCCACTGCTTGGAAGGATGAGAGCATTAACTTTGAGATGTGGCAACAACGCAAATCATCAACAAAATTGTAATAGACCTTTTGTGAATACTGCCCCAGGATCTCGGGCTTGATGAAGGTCACTTATCAAGAAATGGTCTACAACATCCTTAGGGGGTCCATACCTCCTGACTCCTTATGACTTAGCTAGTTAAGAACCACTCTCTGTCGAATGTTGTGAAATGATCAGTAGAGGCAAACCTGCATACACACTCTTTCCCAAGGGAGAGGGAGTGTGTCCAATGTCACTAGATGGATAGGACACTTCAAAACCCAGGGGTTAGCTGCAACCAGTTTATGATTGGTACCATAGCACTCAAGTAAATCCTTCAGTTCTGGAGGATCCTCTAAGTGCTGACAAGGATGTGGTCAGTCTCTTCATTGCTATACCAAGTTCAGCTTTGTGAGTTTGAATACTTGTACAAGGATCCAGAAATTGTTAATATCTGGGACCTTGCAAGGTCACAGAGGAGGCTGTTCTCAATACTGATATCATCTACTGAGCCATGGGAACTGCCATGGGGACTTCATGTAGCCAGTTCAGTTACCACTAGATACTGCATTGAAGCTGCTTAGTGTGGATATCTTGTTGAGAACTGCTGTCTGCCACAAAAGTGAGTTTTGTGTAGAATTTTCATACATCAGTAGGAGTGTACACAGCAGCAGCATTTATATTCATAAGTGTTTTCCATGGCATTGTTAAATTTTCTTTCCTTTCTTTTATTTCTTCCTTTTCTCTTATGACTGGCTTCTCTTGCGCTGCAGAATGGACGACCCAAGACCTTTAGAAGGACCTTTAGAGCCCAACGACATCCTAGATGCGGGTGAGAGGATCCTCGACGGCAAGATTGTTGGGCCTGAGTCCGTCGCCTCCAAGAGTGACGATGAGATCTTTGTGAGCTTGCACGGTGGGAAGATCCTGCGAATTTGGGGCAAGAGGTTTGATCACTTCAAGATTATCACCTCCATTGGCCCTGGCTGTGGTGAGTGGCAGCGAAGGGGTGGCAGCAGGGAAGTAGTTTCGGTTTGGGCCTTAGTCACAAAATATTTAGATAAGGGATTGGGAAATTGTGGTTAGAGTTTATGGGAAATTAGTTATGTTGTCAGTCAGAATTATTCATGTTAGTGTATCTGAATTATTTGAGTATATTTGATACACTTCCCTATGGAGATAAAAATTCTTTAATGTGGATGATTGATTTCAGCACATCAGATTCTTCATTTTTTACATCAATATTGACATGTCCTTATCATAGTAATTAATGTTAGTTTTCCAGTTCAAAGTCTCAGAAAAAGTGGGTCATTGAATCGATTTTCAGATGCTTGTATGGTCAATTTCCTTTATGTTACCTTGCATTGCTCGGTTTACAACCATATAGATAAAGTTTGCCAATGATTTCTCAGGTTTTATTGGTTTTATTGAGGATGTAGTGTTTGCGTAACAATTGTGTACTAGTAATAGATAAAATCTATGACATTTGTTTAAAATATTCTTTATGTTTTTAGTAATTTTGCAGTCATTTTTATATTCTTTTTCATAACCTTAACAGTCGTAAGCCAGACACTAGATATACTCCTTTCAGTAAAAACTAATCAGTTTTCTTATTAAGATCATTAATTTTTAAAGATGGGCCGTGGCAGGAGAAAATCTGTGGACGACCTCTGGGTTTGCGTTTTGCTCCTGATGGCCGGCTGCTGGTGGCTGACGCATACCTTGGACTCTTCTCAGTCGATGTGGAAACAGGTATACAAATCTTACCTATTTGTGTTTGTTGGTAAGAATATTATTGATATTATTATCAGTATCCCCCCAGGTGAGAGTATAAATTATGGTGTCATAAGTCAGATGCTAGACTGTCAGTTGTCTACAGAGTATAGATTATCACAGTTATCCAAATGTTTCAATGAAAATAAGATAGGATTTGGACGTTAATAACACACATATGGGATTTATAGGTGTAGCTGAAGGTAACATTCCAAACACTACCTGATATACTAATAGACATTACATACTTCTCGTTAATGAAAAAGTCATTAGGGGTATGGGGGTGTTGTGTAAGTGTTGCTGATGGAAACATGCCAAGCAGTACTTGATATATTACTATTTGATTTTAAATTCTTCTCATTCATAATAAAAAAGTCATGGGGAAAAAATCCTGCCAATTTTTGAAAGGCTTTCCTCAAATAGGATTGAGCTCATGTCATGGCAAATAAAATTTTAGGGGCTACGTAATGGTCCTTTGGGATATCTTTTAAAGAAGCATTTTTTTATAAGAGTTTGAAAATTATTAAAAATAAGTGAATAGGGAAATGAAATTGAGAAAGGAAAATGTCATGTATACAAAATAGTGCAAATATATTTACCTTGCAATTTTTGGTTATAAAACATCCTTGACACTTATGAGACATGAAAATAATTGAGTGAATAATGAAAGGTATTGTAAAGGAAATATTGAAATTATGTTTGTACATGAATGTTTCCAAACCAAAACAAGTAAGGGAGTGTTGATATAAACATCACTTAGTTTTATGAAGAAAATCTTTAAAAGAGCAAAAAGTTCAGAATTAAAGTTAGGATGAAATAACAGGGATTAGTCGTATAAGGAATACAGGTCTTATTCCTCGAATAATAATTGCATCCCATATTTCAGGTGAAAAAGAACGATTATTTGATCCATCGGAAGAAATTGACGGTGTTGCTCCAAAGTTGCCGGACGACCTGGACATTGATTCCGAGGGCAACATCTACTGGTCTGATGCCTCTACCAATGCTGACCTTTCTGATGGCATAATAGAGATGCTGAGTGATCCAAGTGGCAGGTGTGTACACTTGTGTACGTGCATGTATGTTTGTTTTTTAGAAAGAATATGCATAATTGATTTAAAGAGAAGATGTATTTGTAAAAGAACTGTAGATCATAATTTTGCTGTCTTTTAAGTGCAATATTAGGCTAGAAGACACTTTTACTTTATTGCAGCATCTAAGGTAACCTAGTGTTATATTTGAATAATTGATGATTTGTTTGAATTATTACTTTTAAAAATCTTTTGTGTTGTTTGTGTTATTCTTAGTCAGATCCTTATTAGAGAAAAACATTTGTAAACATAAACTCTCATTGATTTATACAATAGAATCACAATATTTCTTTATACTGATATATGAAATTAAAGTCTCTGGAAGTTGAGATTATTCATTACTTTATGCTCATATAGCTGTCTGTTGATCCTTGTTTATTGTTTGTCATTCATGTTATCATAACTATACTTGTTTACTTTTGTCTTTTAGGCTTATCAAATTCGACCCAAAGACAAAGAAGAACACAGTGCTGATGAAGAACCTCCACTTTGCCAATGGGGTCCAGCTGTCACCAGATCACGACTTCGTTTTGGTGTGCGAAACCTTCCAAAAACGTGTCTGGAGGTAAGAAGTGATTGGAGGCCTGAAGTTGCCCAAAATTTGTCTGCAGTTATTGGAGTGTTTAAAGCTGTACTAGTTAAGTGAGATATTTGAAGATTGGAAAACAATTTCTGTGTCTATGTCTGTATCAGACAAGATGTAAGAGTAATGGAAGTTCAGAACAGTAATGTAATTAGTATAGTTATTAGTAAATAATGTATGGTGTATATATCTACCAAGATGTACATTTAAATAATTAATGTTTTTATTATTTAGATAAAGATAAGATACATATCAGTGCTGAAATAAGGTAATGAAAATAGAGATACTCTCTCCTTAGTTCTAACACTCTTGAGCTACCTCCCTACATTCCAGGTACTGGTTGCAAGGTCCCAAAGCTGGAATATCAGAAATCTTTGTAGACCGACTGCCCGGCATGCCCGACAACCTCCGAAACAGGAACGAGGGCGGATATTACGTGTCTCTCGTGGCGGTGAAGTCCCCCGAGGCCTTCGATGAGCTCAAGTTCCTAACCAAGCTGCCATGGCTGAGGAAGCTTCTTCTGCGCTTAGTGAATTTTGCCAAGATGTTGTTTGACACCGTGTCTAAGATCTATCCCAATAAGTTTACAGAAGATGTTTCATTCAGGGTAAAGATTTATTTTTTATTCATTTTAAATGTTTTAATGTGTATTTATGATGTTCATAAAGTTTCTCATTCTATGCAAAAATGTTCTCCCATGAATGAGATAGGAAATTACTGAGTTGTATTTCATACAGAATGATAGTCAGAAGAAAGGTGCTAAATGTCATTCACAAATCTGTTGATATTATTTTTTAATTGTGAAATACATGTATGTATATATATATGTATGTATATGTATATGTATGTATATATATATGTATGTATATGTATATGTATGTATATATATATGTATGTATATGTATATGTATGTATATATATATGTATGTATATGTATATGTATGTATATATATATGTATGTATATGTATATGTATGTATATATATATGTATGTATATGTATATGTATGTATATATATTTACTGAGGTATGTTTATATGTATATATAGAGGTATATATATATATATATATATATATATATATATATATATATATATATATATATATATATATATATATATATATATATATATATATATATATATATATATATGCATATTCCTTCACAGACTTGATTTAAAAATGCCTAATGAATTTACAGATATTCAACCTGGAGCCAATCGCTCAGCACTTGGCTTCCAACAAGACAATCGTAGTGGAACTTGATGCGGAAGGAAACATCGATGGCTCGCTGCAGGGGAACAGCGGCCGTATCCGCTTCATCTCTCAGACAAACAAAATTGGGGACAATATCTTCTTTAGTTCGCCCTACAACAAGTATCTTGGGCGGCTGTACGTCGGGGTGCCGTCCCTGGAGGTGGAGGGGAAGGGCGTCAGGATGGTGGAAGAGGAGGGTGAGGATGAGGAGGAGCAGGGGGAGAAGGTAGAGGAGGCGGAAGAGAAAGAAGGAGAGTCGAAGGGGGAGGAACAGAAGAAGGAAGAGGAAGAAGAAGAGGAAAAGAGCATCGAGCCAGCGGAAGAGACGAAATCAGAATCCAGGGAAGAGGCAGCAGCAGAGAGTGCACCAGAGAAGGAACCTTTGCCTGTCGAAGAGGAGCAACTGACGCCCAAGGAAGCCGAGGCGAGTTCAGCGAAGGAGGACGAGAAAGCGAAGGAGGAAGGAGTTACAGCAGAGCCCTCGGTTCAAGTTCTGGAGAAAGAGAAAGAAAAAGCCCAACAGGAGTCTGTGAAGAAGGATGAACTTTAGTGATTTTTTTGTTTTGTTTTGTTTTTGTTTTTTGTTTGTTTCT